GCTAGGGGGCCTCTGATGGGGCTGCGGCCTTGCTCTGCCTGAGACACACCTGCTGGGCACCCGAATGGCCGTGCCTGCCCCCTCCAGCTGCTCGGTGTGGCCTGCCGCCCTGCCTCACACCCCACTCCCACCCGAGTTCCCAGCGCGTGTTGCCCTCTGCATGCCGACGGTCGTCTCTGGGGTCGGTCTCTGCCTGCTCTCCCCTCTGCAAAGGCTAAGGGCCACTGGGACGCGGATTTGGGTGTCTGCTTCCTACCTGGCTCACGATGTGTTAATGAACACACAGAATGCTCACCGAATGCACACCGGGCATGCAGAGAACACACAGGGCCTGGAAGGGGAGCAGGGGCCGCTGCCGCTGGCGGGGCCTGGGCGGGAGGAGGAGCCTGGGAGGAAGGGATGTGGGCGCTGCACGTGTCTGGCTGCAAAGGGGGCAGACGTGGGGGGTGGCCAGGGACACAGGTCAGGAAGCCCGCTTCTGCGGGAGGACAGCGGAATGGCTGACGGCCTGCCCAGGACTGAGAAGGACACGGGATGGCTTGGGTTGGGGGCGTGGGGGTGGGAACCAAGTGTGGTCCGGCAGGCCAGGTCCCTGCCCCACCCGGGGACTTGGGTACACACAGGACAGGCAGGTGCCTGAGATGGGGGGCCTGACAGCCACTGCATCCTCCCTGGAGGCTCAGGCCGGGTCTCAGGCTCTTGACCACCAGAGTTTGTGGCTGAGGCTCCTGGGAGGCCGGGAGGCCACCTCCTGGAGAGAGCAGGCTGTCTGTGCACCTACCTGGGCAGACAGGCTCTGCCCTGCCCACCGGAGGCCCTGCAGCACAGCGTGAGCAGCTGTGGAGGGGGCTGCCTGCCTGCCCGGTGCTCCAGGGGCCTGGTGGGGCCTGACCCAAGTCTGTCAGGCTCTGAGGCTGAACTCTGGGCCTCCACAATCTACCACTTTGCTTTTCTCAGATACCAGCATCCAACTAAAGGCAGAAGCAATCCTTGCTCAATCTTGTTGAATGTCTAGTGTTGTAAAAATTGCTTTCCATCAAATAAATAGCATTTTTGCCTGCATTTAACTTGATTAGTCTGGGGCCTGGGACCCAACCATCTTTCATTAACCCGGCTTCTACCGGGGCACGCGGTCCATGCTCCACGGAACAGATCATACCTAGGTTTGAGCAAACAGGACTCCCTGGTCAGGTGAGCAGTGGGTGGGCTTGTCAGGGGTCAGCGCACCTTTGACCAACTGTAAACCGAGGACAGCGCTCTGACCCGAGGGACGTAAACCGATGCACCAAACCCAACAGCACAACCCTTTTCCCTGTGGTATTAAATTCATCCTGGGCAGCAAATGAAGGCATCGCAAGATAACTGGTTCCGAATAAGCAGACGTTAAACAGGCTGAACAATGGAGGATACTTAACAGCTGGGGCATAAAGGTGAACCATACACCTAGGCAGATGCTGTAAAATTCCTCATTGCAACACACAAGCCCCTGACAAGAAGCACAGGGCTCGGCCAAGTGCGTGCAAACACTCGCCAGGGCCGTGTGGCAGCCTCTCTCACACTCCCGGGCACAGCGGCAAGCGTCTGGGGGAGGGCCCACCGGTCGATTACCTCGGCCCTGGTCAGAGCACCTGCGCTCGGTCAGCAGGAAAGCCCCACTGAGTCATCCAAGCCGGCCTAGGAAAGAAACATGCGAACAAAGGCTGGAGTCCAATGGGAGGTCGGCCTGGGGAACAGGCAGTCTCGCAGGTGAGCATGACACTCCTGTCGCAAATTTTCAGGTAACAAAGAGTAAAAAGAGCAGACACATGCTTATGAATGGTTGGACATATTAGAGCTCAAAGCACTCTAATGCAACCATGCTTAAAGTTCTCCAGGGACCAAAAATATTTATTTTTCCCATGTAAAGAAGATCGTAATGTGACAGTCTGTTTCAAAAACAACTAATGTCAGCAAAGAAAACCTTCAGATTTTTCAGAATGTAAGAAATATCCTAGAAAACAAAAACAATTAGGAACTTTGACAAACAGCGTACCAGTACTAATAAACAATCTCCAAGCTGAAGTACTAAAGACATTCTACAGACAACAAAATTACACTCTTGATCTGCTGAATTAAAGCCAAACCTGAAGTGCAGCAGAGAGAAGGAAGCGCCGTTCCCGGGAGCCCCTGACTGGGACGCGCTCCCCGGAATAAACGTTGTGGCCAAATGTGGCTGGTGGCCTTCTTCGTGGACTTGGTGGCTGCAGTATTTTGCACACCTTGTTTTAAAGTCTTCTGTTCCGCCGGAGTCCTGCACACTGCCTGCAGCAGGGCCCCTGCCGGCTGCCATGGGCACCGGAGGCAGGCAGCGGCAGGACTGCTCGCTCGCCCGGCTGCCCACCCAGCTGAGCGATGCTGCCGGCGGGCAGGAGGAACCTCGGAGCCGGCGCCGTCCTGAGCTGCTGGCCTGGGCCGCCTTGACGGGTCCTCGAGACCGCCCTGTGAATGGGCGCCGCTGTGAGTCTCCAACGGGAAACTGACATGGGGAAAAGGGAAGCAGCCATCCGGAGGGCACCCAGTGTAAAGCGGGCAGGCCAGGCTCAAGCAGACACCTGTGGAATCTGCAGGTGACCCAGGAGGCTACACCGGCTTCTCAGAATTCCAAGTACCTGGATCTGTCACTCATCTCACTTCCCGGAAGAGGAGGGAGCACTAGCTCTCCACCCACTCTGCTGGAAACCGTGTTTTGAGTAGATACCTGACCACGCACGAACCACGGGCACGCATTTCTTCGTGGCTTCTATCCATCCAGCCACCTGTACTCGAGCTTCGGCGTTCATGTGGCCTTACCCAGAACCGGACTCTCCCATCTGCCTACTCCATCTCTCCAGAATTAACCCAGAATAAAACCCCTATAGCCATGTTTTCCGCATCAGAAGAAGTGGAAAAGTTTTCTTTGTCCCAGGATTTCTGACTACAGGAAAACTAGAAGCAACCAGGGTATATGCAACGTATTCATTTCCATAAAATTAGTCGCATGAGGAAACCATGAAGAAATATAAATATTCAATCTCGACTTTTTTGTTTTCTGTAGCAGAAGAAATATAATTTGGTCCTGTGAGTAGAGAGAGAACCATGTTACAAAAAAACAGATCATGACCATTTCTGAAAAAAGTCAATTTAGTACATGAGCTTAGTGTGTGTGTGTGTGTGTAGTGTGTGTGTGAGTGAAAAAGTCAATTTAGTACATGAGGTGTGTGTGTGTGTGTGTGTGTGTGTGTGTGTGTGTGTGTGTGTGTGTGTTGAAAAAACCCAAACGACCAGGCTGCAGCAGCAGAGATGTGGGATGGGAAACAGAAATGGTGACCATGTCCCGGAACTTGCATTCCAAAGACATCACCAAACAACGCACATGCTAGAAAAGCTCACTAAGGAATATTCACACTTAAGTGTGAGACAAGACTTGATTTTCATAAGTCTAATAGCAAAAGACAATTTAAAAATGTAAACTTTTTAAATTTACTGCAGGGCTGAGTAAGACAGTACAAAACCGGACATATGCCTGCCCCACACCTGGAACAAACGGCTCAGGGCCCCAGGGAAGGTCAGGTCCCCCCGGCAGTGAGCCCCAGTCCAGGCGGAGGGGAGCAGCAGAGAGGCGGCGCGGCCACCCACCCCTCCAGAAAGCAGATTGCACCTTACTGGTCACAAGGTAACTCTTCTTTTCACCAGGAAGCTTAAACTGGAAGAGAATGGAAATCAACGTGAACAGCAGGGTAACTTGAATACGTTTCAGGTAAATGGTAGCGGCACCCTTCCTTCTCCTATTTCGCCTTTGAGGAAACAGGCAGGGAAACCAGCGGCCCAGGGAGTCCCGGGGGTGGCGCGGCTAAGAAGGGAATGCCCCTGCCCACAAAGCGCTTCTCTGACATCCTGGCGCCCTTCGTCACACTGTCACTGTCACTGTCACTGTTGGTGGTTTTTCCAGAACCCACTACTCCTGCGAGAAACAAAGGGGTCGCCGGAGGCTTGCCGCTCACGGTGTGACACGGACGCCACGGGCCCGAGATTCGGCGGGGGCATCCCACGAGCCTCCCAGGGCCTCGGCCTTGCCCGGAGTCGAAGAAGCTCCCCACGCAAGGCCGCGGATGCGCGGACTGACCTTCCGCGAGCAGCTACCTAGGCGCGGGGCACACGCGCTGCCGCGGCCCTGGGCCCCTCCGGGAAGAGAATAAATTCAGGGGAAAACGGATTTGGCGTCCCCCGGGGTGAAAAGAAACACTTTCATCTTCGGCCAAGCTTATAAATATGAAAACTGCCTAAGGTGATTCCTACATCAGGGAAAACAAAGTTGCCACACACACAAAAGCGCGCTCAGCACTCGGCCCCGCGCGTCTCGGACCGCTGCGCGCGGCCGGCCGGCGCCGGGGACAATGCGCCTCTGTTGAGGACAGCGGCGCGGACACCCCCCGGCGGCCGCCTTCTGCGCAGGCACCCCCTTCGCCCCACGCGGAGCCACCTCTCCGACCTCAGCGGCCGGCGCCACGCGCACAGACTCCGGAAAGCCCTCCGACATCCCGGCCTCGGATCCCGGCGGTCCCTCCGGAGTAAAGAGCCCAAACTTCACTCCCGCGTCCCCCGCGGAGTTACAAAGCAAACAAGTCACCGCCTGTTTCTGGAGAGGGTCCGGTCTCCAAATCCCGAGCAGACTAGCAGGAGGAAGGCGGACCCGAGCCCCTGCCAGCCCGGGGCCCTGCGCGGAGCTGGCAGGTCTGCGCCGGGGCAGCTCCGTCCCGCGCCCACCCGGGGCGGGGCGCGGCCGCCGGGCAGGTGGCGCCCTGGCCCGCACGTGCGCGCCGGGACCATCCGGAGCCTCAGCAGCAAACTCCGCGGCCCAGCCCGGCACCCGCTCGTCCCCCGGGGCGGCCGGCGTCATGAGCGGGACCGCAGGGCCCCAGGCGCGGCGCTGTAGGGTCGGCGCTGTCCCCAGGGCCTCCCGCCCGCCCGCCCGCGACACTCACGAATCTGTGCACGAGCGTCCGCACGCGGCTGCAGTCCATGGCTCCTCCGGCCGCGCCCGCCGCACTCAGCGCCCCCGCGCCCGGCTCCGCGCGCCCATGGGCCCGGGCCCCAGTGCGGCCGTGCGCCCCGCCCCAGTCACTGTCCGGGCGCGCAGTGCGGTGCGGGGGGCGGCCGCGGCCCCTCCGCGCTCATGCCCAGCCCGGCCCCAGGTGGCCGGCGCCGGGTGGCCGCTCGGCGGGATGGTCGCCGACCCCGGCTGCCGGCGGCGGGGCTGCGGGCCGGGAGCGCGGCGGCCGGGCGCGTCTCCCGCGCCGCTCCTCTCGGCTCGGCTCTGCGCGCTGCTCCACTCGGCCGTCCGGCAGGTCCTCGCCCGCCGCCGCTCTCAGCCCGCCTGCGGCCGCCCGGGCCCCGCGCACGTCACGAGCGCGTGCGAGCATGCGCCCCGCGGCCCGCGCCCCCGCCCGCGCCGAGGGCCTCGCACACTTAAGCCTGCGCGCGCCCCCTGCCCGCCCCGCCTCCGGCCCCGCCCCCGCCCCGCCCCCGGAGCCGGTAGAGATGCACCCCGGTGCGCAGGGCGGAGGCCCGCGGGCGGGGCGGCTCCCTGTTGCTTCCGCCTCGGGGCGGGGCATGTACTCTCGGGGCCGGTACGGGGGCGGGGCCCTCTGCGGCGGGGTCCGGGGGCGGGGGTCCGGGGGTCCGGGGGTGGGGGGACTGTGCGCCCTGCGCCGGGAGCCGGGGCGCGGGGACTGAGCATTATTCCCGGGCGGGGGTGCGGGGACTGTGCGCCCAGCTAAAGCCTCGGTCTGACTCCGGCCGGAAACTTCTACCCGCTAGTAAGGCCCGATGGCTGGTGCGGGGTCGCAGGGGTCGGGGAGGACGCCGTGGGGCGCAGGAGCAGGGATGCCGGATCTCGGAGCGGGCCGCGGGGTCTGGTTGGGCTGGAGACCCTCTAACCGGGTCTGGGTCGCGTCCTCGTGCGAGGCCAACCCGCCGCCCCGCGTGTCCCCTTCCGCCTTGCGGGGGACAGGGGACAGGGGACAGGGGAATGCCTCAGGTGGCTGCGCTGGGGCGGAGGTGAGCATAGGGTCTGTCGCCCGGGACACGTGCTCCTGTCTGAAGCCCGGCTGGCTCCCTAGCCTTCGCTCCCTGCCCCAGGCGAGGACAGTCCTGCGCGGAGAGGGGTTGAATGCACCTTTAACCTGTTACACCGCCGCCTGCCGGGGCGCCGCCCTCTCGCGGTCCGGGAGGTCCAGCTCCTGCCTCCGCCTCCGGCCGCCAGGAGGCCAAGTCCCTCCGCGGGGAAGGAGCTTCAGGCTCGCCGGCCTTTGGGTCCCCGTGGTGCCCTTGGCGCTGCTTAGCCCCGACCCGGACAGGACTGTCCCACTGCGCGGACACCGTGATTCCAGTCCCGGGGAATGCTTCCGTCTCCCCATCGGGAAGGCCCTGGCTCCGCAGTCCGCCTTGTTAATTATGTGCTTCGTCTCAGCTTCTCTGGCAGCCACTGTGTCACCCGCTGTGGAGCCGGAGAGGCCTGGCCACCGCCTTCCGCCGCCCGTCGTCCCCGCCCTGGGTGCGGAGCGGGAGGCGGTGAATGCGCTCCTGACCGTGGAGGAGAGGCAGACCTGGGCACTGATCTGGACCCATGATAGAGATGAGGACCAGTGAACGGCAATGCGGACAAAACCATCTGCATTCTGAACTTTTCCCCTGTAAAACGCTGCAGTTTTTGTCAGCCGTCTCACCTATGTCCAGTTTCCATCCAGATCCAGTCTCTGCCCGTCCCTGTCCACTCTGTGCCTGGGAACTGATGGCCATCCTCAGTGGAGATGGGAGGGCTGGGCCTCGCCTCTCTTCCTGCCGTCCAGGCCGCCCGGCGGGCGGTGTCCCAGCCTCTGTGAAGAGGACTTGCCAGACCCCCTGTCCCAGTGCATGGCGCACCAGGCCCAAGGGCCAGCCTCTCACCAGGCCTCTCAGGGCCAGGCAGTGGCATCAGCCACCCGCGCTGTGGCTGGTCCCTGGTAGCAGTGCCCTTTGACGGGTAGTGGGACCACGGCCGAACCCAGCAAATGGCCCCGCCTCGCACTCTGCAGATCCCCCGAGAATGCCTTCTGCTTCCTGTGAGGACCATGAATGCTGGAGCCAAATTCTGACGAGCCTTCTACCCTGTGACCTGTGACACTGGGCGGGGGCATGAGGACGCGGCAGAGGGCAGGTGCCACTGCAGAAAGGCCGCTGCTCCGTTCTATGGCAAATGCTGACTTCGCATTGCAGTAGGCACTGGGATTGCCCGTGCAGCAGCCATGCCCCTGTCCTCACTGGCAGAAACCCACCTTGGCCCAGGTGTCCACCTCTACATGGTGGGGGAGCTCCAGTGCACGTGCACCAATCTTGGTAATGCATGCCTTACCCATGTGGTTTAAAGCAAGGTGAAGCCACTGAATCCTGCTGTTGGACAAGTGTCTTCACTCTTAAAGAGGCACAGAAACAGGAGATGCTCCTTGTTTCCTGCTAGGTGTCTGGATGTGAGGTGAGGTGTTTTGGGACATTCTTGTGTCCGTGACAGGAGAGAGCCTGGGGGCCCTTATCACACTGGGGATGGCAGTGTGGAAAGACAGGAGGAGCCGGTCCCAGCTGCCTCCACCGGCCATTAGCAATACTGCTGTTGCTGTAACTTGGAATCTCATGTGAGAGAGAATAAATGACCTGATTGAATTGGATTTTCTGTTACTAGCAGCTGACGGCATCTTAATTTAAAACCAATGGAAACGAATCAGGACACTGTTGTAGTAACAGAAAACCAGCTCACCCTGTGAGTCATGTACTTATTTCTGTATAACAAGCCACCAGAAACTCGAGAGTTTCAACAGCAAGAAGCGACTGTTCCCAAGACTCCATGACTGGTACAAGAGCTCCACGCAGGGCTGGCAGGCAGCTCTCGCATCTGCACCCCTGCAGGGGCTCGACTAGGTGGGTGGACGCTGGGAACAGGTTGGCCTCTCTCTCCATATGGTTTCTCAACCCTGGTGGCCTGGCCTGGGGTTCTTACCCGGCAGCTGGAACCCAAGAAGGTCAAAGTGGACACTGCCCAGCCCCTCAAAGCTTGGAATCAGAAGTCCTGGAACAACGCCGGCACAGATTCAAGGGACATGGCATAATTGATTTCACTTCCTAATGGTAGGAGGTCCTCTTATACCCCCTAAAAAGGGATGGGAGAACTCATGAGTGGTCATCTTTGGAGATAAACCCACCATGGACAGGTTTAGACAGTAATGGAATGTGTTAGCCCAACACTGGAATATCTTGCTGTCTTGCCAATGGGTTTTAGCCCCGGGCAAGTTCACTATGGATTCAGTGTGACCAAAGAAATGACAGTAGAACGCTCTTGGGGTGAAAGGGTTATACGCAACTTTATTTCCAGGTGGCAGGTCAGTCACTAAAATCCCATTCACTCAGAGTGAGTCTGCATGCAGCAAGCCGGTCTCTGCCTCTCAGCCACGACTACCACACGACTACCTCTGGGCCTCTGTCGTCGGCGCTGCCACCACTCCAGCCTCTGCTCTGCTCTCCTGCAGCCTTGCAGCTGTGCCACTCTGTTGCCCAGAGCACTGGGCAGAGCTCTTCATACAGAGTCAATAATGACATATTGCCCACTCGTGTGTGGTGGGCTAGCCAGCCAGGGCCAGGTGAGAATCCTGGCCACAGGAACCTTCACTTTATCCACACTTGTCAACAGTAACAGTTAAGTTCAAAGTGAAGTGGCTGGCAGAAACTCCAGGCCTACAGTTTCTTCATTCACATCCAAGGGGAAAGAGAATCTTCCCTCTGATTGGGTCAGCTAAGCCCTGTGCCAGTCCTGCACAATCGAGGGCGGTGGGTGCCATCAGAAGCCAGCTCGGGCCTGGGTTAAGTGTAATTCCTGACCAGGGTGTATTGGGGAATGGGATGATTTTAATCAGCTTTAGGTCATCGGGCCTGCCCCAGCCCACTGCCGGTATGGCTGCTTCATCCTGACAGGTGACCGGGGAGGAGGCAGCCTAGAGGATGTGAACCCTGCTACGTAAATCAGACAGTGGGTTGGCAGCTGGGTGCCCAGGCGCTGTGCGCCACCCCCCGTGCACAGACTTGGACCACCTGCCTCCCTTCCTCTGCCTCAGAAGGGACTAGGGCAGAAGCCTGGAATCTTGGGTTCATTGACTTCTAAGTGACTTTTGGGAAATAAGGGGGTGTAAAAGTATTTCTAAACCTAGTTTAGATTAAAATCCCTCAGGGAATTATTTTAATAGTTATTCACTTGGAACCCCTCCCCTCAGCCCAGACATTTTGATTCCATTGGTCTGGAGTGTTTGCTAAAAGCTTCTGGGGCAGCAAGTTTGAGACCAGCTAGTCAAGTATGGGTCTCCTTTCCGAGTGTGAACTTGTGGACGATGACCTGGATTACGGGTCCCTTTTCACAGCCCAGGGCAAGTTCGCTATGGATTCAATGTGACCAAAGGAATCGACAGCAAAGCCTTCTTGGGGTGAAAGGGTTTATTACCTGGCTTGTTCTCCCGCGTAGGTCCAGCACTAGCATCTCTACCCCCTGCCCATAGTACTGGGCCGAGCTCTCTATATAGCACAATAATAGCTTATTGCCTAAAGGTGTGGAAGCGGTAGCCTAGCAACAGGCCAGTTACATCACCAGGTGGTTTAAGTTCAGTGAGGAACCTGGTGGTAGGAGCCCTGGCTGACCAGAGGATCCCTGGCTTGACTGCATTTCTTGGGGAGGCTGGGACTGCGACTGAAATGGGTTTGAAGCCCCGTTTGGTGACTTGGCCAAGCAGAAGTGACCCCATGTTGGGCCTGCAAGTTTCTTTTTAACAGTTCTCACCACCAAGTTCTATACGTTTCCCACCCCTTGGCAGCCAGCTCTGAGGAAACCGTAAACTCCTCCTGTGAACTCGGCTACACACCTGTCCTCACACTTCACCTCGCCGAGCCTGGGGCGTGCTCCCACCCCTCTCACCATCTCGCCATGTCTCCTCTCTCGGTTTCTTTATTTTGGTGGAATTTATTCTCCAGTAGCTGCCTAGGAAAGAGTGAGTGGAAAATAAATGTTTCGAAAACATTTTTCTCGGATATTAATTA